CGAGGGGGACCCAAAGTGGTTCACTCTGTTCTCCTCTCCTCCGTTTTATCCTCATAACAACCCTGTGAGGTAGGTTAGGCTGAGAGAGTGTGACTGGCCCATGAGCACCCAGCAAGCTTCCATGGCACAAGTGGGAATTCGAACCTGGGACAAGTGGGGATTCGAACCTGGGCCTCCCAGCTACTTGCCTGACACTTTAGCCACTACACCATGCTGCCTTTCCAACATAAATGCTCTGCAGTAGACAACAAGCATAGCACAGAGGAAGGGCCTCTCCCTTCTCTTGACGTGCTGTTTTGGGTCTTCTACTATCAGTGAGCCTCTAATTTAGGGCGGCCGTCCAAAATCTTGCAGGCTGTTCCGGCATTTCAGAGCTCTGCCTCCAGAAAGAAGGATCTTCCCCCACCCCCCTGCATTTCATGCACCACTGCCAAGCAACCGCGAGTGCTCATATATGTGCATACGAGAGAGCATAAGGCCCACAGTTAGCAGCTCCTGGGGAATGTGGGGAAACCGGCTCCCCTGGCAAGCCCACTAACACCAGTCCCTGATTCGAGTCCCGCAGCACCTTAGAGACCAGCAAGGTTTTCGGGGTATAAGCTTCTGAGAGCCAACGCTCTCTTCATCAGATACGAGTCAGAAGGGACAAAGGGAGCGCTGACTCTCAAAAGCTTCTCCCCTGAAAATCTTGCCGGTCTCTAAGGCACTACCGGGCTCCAATCCATCCGTTCTACCGCGGACCGGCTACTCCATGAAACCTCCAACCCCCAATGTCACATTATGCGAAGAATTCCTAAATAAACTGCAATCGCTCTATGCCTGGGACCCAATCCCATGACTACTGGTAGAAGGACTTCTCCGCCATGCTCATTATCCTCCTTGACCAATCAGAAAGGAACTCATCGGTTGTCTTAGCAACCACCCGTTGCTCTTAGAAACGCAGGATAAAGTCAATTTGGGGAAAGGGCCGGAGATGTTTGCCAGGCACGTGCTCATCCTGCCAAAGGGGCTCTCCGCTTCGCAGGCCCCAAGTCTTTGGACAGGAGACCTCCAAGGAATGCCAGAGGCACGATGCACAGGACAGCAATGGCAAACCGCCTCTGAACGTCTCTTGCCTTGAAAATCCTAAGGAGTTGCCGTAAGCCCACCACCACACTAGCATTATTTGGGAGTCATCAGTCCTGGAGACTTTTCAGCCTTATTTTAAAATCCCACATTTCTCCCCTCGCCAGGAACTTGTCGGGGAACAGCTGTTCACCTTGCCAAGGCACACACGGCCACAGGGTTTGGGGTCGTTTAAAAAACTCCCTCCACCTTCCTTGGATGAATCACACAATTTGGAAGATGAACACATACCTGCCCGCCCACCCGCCCCCGGCCAATACTCCCCGAACAATGCTTGGAAGTGATCTGAAGAAATGCACAATGTTGCACACTCCACAATTCTGGGGCTTGGATTTCTCAAACGGCGGCCCCAATCCCCTGCTGTCCCGCCCTGCAATCAGCTTCAAAGCTGTCTGCGACATGACTCTGGGGTCTGCTAACAGGAGAGCCTGCGGATCTCCGAAGGAGGGCCACGTTGCTGCGTGAGGGAAGGCGGCCCGGAGAAGGAGCTCTGCAGGGGGTTGGACGAGATAACCCTGGAGGTCCCTTCCAACTCTAGGATTCTATGATTCTGTGATATCCAGAGGGCGGCAACCCCACCCCCCACCAGCTTTGCAAGGCCTCAGCATCGGGGCCTGTTCTCTGCTAACGGAGCAGAATTTGAACCTCGGCTTCTTGTTCTGGTCACCAAACCCCGGGACAGCTTGCCGCAGCCTCACATTGGAGGCAGGGATCTCAGCCCCAGCACTTATTTTAAATAGAATGTGAAATATGAATGATCAACCTTTAAAGAATGGCATTCAGTCAAAACAGATGAAATGCTGGAAGACACTCCCCCAACCGATCTCCAGCAATCTTGATCCACAGTGGATTTGGGGGGCAGGGGGGTTATAGCACAGGAGGGCTTATCTGGATAGCCCAGGCCAGCCTGATACCATCAGATCTCATAGGAACCTAAGAGCAACACAATGTTGGATCAGGCCAGTGGCCCATCCAGTCCAACACTCTGTCACACAGTGGCCAAAAATACCAGGTGCCATCAGGGGGTCCAGCGGGGGGGCTGGGACACTAGAAGCCCCCCCCCTGTTCCCCCCCCCCCCGCAAGCACCAATAATACAGAGCATCACTTGCCCCAGCCTGAGAGTTCCTCTCTATACCTTGTGCCTAATAGCCACCAATGGACCTCTGCTCCATATGCTTATCTAATTCGCTCTTGAAGCTGTCCATGCTTGTAGCCGCCGCCACCTCCTGTGGCAGTGAATTCCATGTGTTCATCACTCTTTGGGTGAAGAAGTACTTCCTTTTATCTGTTCTAACCCGACCGCTCAGCAATTTCATGGAGTGCCCACGAGTTCTTGCATTGTGAGAAATGGAGAAAAGTACTTCTTTCTCAACCTGCTCTATCCCATGCATAATCAGATGTCGTTTCTCCAAGCTAAAGAGCCCCAAGTGCTTTAACCTTTCTTCATAGGGAAAGTGTTCCAACACTTTTATCATCCTAGTTGCCCTTTTCTGCATTTTTCCCAATGCTATAATATCCTTTTTGAGGTGTGGTGACCAGAACTGTACACAGTGCTCCAAATGAGGTCGCACCATCGATTTATACAGGGGCATTATCTCGAAAGCTAAGTGGGGTCAGCCCTGGCTAGTATATAGATGGGAGAGCACCGAGGAAGTCCAGGGTGGCTACGCAGAGGCAGGCCGTGGCAAACCACCTCGGAAGGTCTCTTGCCTTGAAAACCCTACGGGAGTGGCCATAAGTCGGCGGCAACTTGACAGCAAAAATAAAACAAAATAAAAACTGGAGTCTGCTGTACTGTAAGAAAAGTAAATCCCTATGCTGGACTTAAGCAAATCTGGGTCTCTAGGTCCAGATCCGGAGCTAGCTTCCCATCCTCTCCACGGTAGTCACATTCCAGGGGGCGTGCAAACTTACAGACAGGCTGGACGCACAAAAATTAATAAATCCAGACAAAGCCCTCAAGCGCTAGACAGGAAACAAAGCACACCCACGGAGTGTCTGCCGGACTAGCACAGAGGAAGTGGCACTGCCAGCAGCTTGGCACCCAAGAAACAGGGCGGCGTGCACAGCTTGGGCACCCTGGCAAGAGGCGGAGTGGAAACTTGCTTCCAGATCCTGACAATACGGCGTCCCAGATGGAAGGGGCTGGTCCTGGAAATCGTGGCTTTCTAGACATCCTACACCTGAATCACTGACTTTAGTCATCTCGTGAGCTTTTCCCCAGGCAGTGGGGCCTGCACTTTTAACAAGAAACAAGGTTCTCGCTCTCACTGTTGTGGAATTTGATCCAGCCGCTTGTGGCCAAACTCAACCCGGTTCACACATGCGACAGAATGAGATTACACAGCCTGGAAGTGGCAAGAATAGTCAAAATGAAGATAAGACAAAATGAAGGCTGAAGGACTCTGACTTGTGCCTTTAAACTTTAGTTTTATGGTGGGATGCTCTGGGGGCTCTCTTAAAACATTGGATAAAAAGATAAAAAAACTTAGCATAGCCGACTATGTTCAAAGTGATGCTAGCCATTTAAGAGTAACATTTATAAGCTGTTGTTAAGATCTCCTATACTTGGGGTTTTAGTTAGTTGTGGTTTTCTTTCCTTTCTCCCTAGATTTCTCCCTTCCCAATTTTTCGCTGTACTTTGTAGTGTATTAGAAAATGCAATTAAAAAATCCCCTTCGGGGGGCCCAAAAAAAAAAGTGGCAAGAATAGTCGACACTGCTTCAGACTTCAGGTGAAATGTTACATTTTGGAATGGTTCTCCGGGTCACTAGAAAACTAGCACAGCAAGTAAAGACAGTGGGGTGAACACCTTTCTCCCAGCAGATTTCGTTTTCGAGCTGTCATGCCTTTTCCAGAGGTGCCAATGAGAACTCACAAAAATGAGATATTCTAAACTGGGAAAGCCTCTCTCCAATTAAGAGAACGGACACATTTACATCCCGGGAAAAGTCCTCCAGGGAAGCATACCATTCAGAACAACAGGATCTCCCCCCACCGCGTGTTTATTTTCCTTCTTTTTTAATCAATGTATTGACCATTACACAATAAAGTTGCATTTTTTGCACTGGCAAAAAAATTATCTCCAAATAAGATATTAACAAAACCTGATTTTTTTAAAAAAATCCGGTTCCTGTCATTATCAGACAAAGGTAGGGACCATGAGAAACTGAGTTGGCAAGCAGAGATAATTTGCAAATCCCCAACCCTACCCCCACCCTTCCTTTAGGGTTTTCTAGGTTCTCAGAGCAGGCCGATGTGTCTCCTGCCCCCTTTTCCCCTGTAAATGTCACTCAGCTGCTCTCAACCACCTGTGCCTCCAGAAACATGCTCACTCCAGGTTTTCAGCCGACCTGGGCCAAGGTACGTACAGACTCAGCCTATCTGCTGTGAAGCTTTTGCCATCCACATGGTGGCAGCGGTGGGGAGGGGAGAGCCCATTCGGTATTAGATTTAGCAAGAAGCCATTTCATTCTCATGTTCCATTCATTTAAAAATGTCCACTTCCACAAGTTCTGGCGTCTTTAATTAGCCATTCTGACACCGAGGGGAGGGGGGCAGGCTCCCCCCAGGCACGTGCCCAGTTGGATTTTGACGGGTCTCAACAAATCCTGCACAATATGAACTTCAACCAAATGCTCTATAGCATAATTAATCCCAACAAATCAGGCCTAAACCTCCAAAGTTCAGCTGTATCCTTGTGCTAGCTTTCTCCATGCAAGGAGTCCTCAAATGCAGAAAAGCTCTAGCACACAAACATACATTCACTCACCAGCCGGAAGCGACGCACAGTCCCCTCCAAGCACTGCCCGTGGCTCAGTTCCCGTAGCCCTCTCCCCGCTCCCTTTTTCTTTCTCGCGCCCCTCTGCCATACCTGGACTTGCCCTTTGCCCACAATCCTGTCCACGATTTCGTTGTCGTCCTTGTTCAACTTGGTCTTGTCGTAACATTTCTCGTAGCAGAGGATCCTCAGGCACTGCGATCCCTCCAGCTCAATCTCAAACTCCTGCCGAGAAGGGTAGAAAGGAGTCCGGGGAGGGGCGCGGGGGGGGGGGGGGGGATGATAATCCACGCAGGAAAGGAAAACAAGCTGGTTGTGCTGCTTTGGGGACACTGGCTGGGTGCAGTGAAAAGGATGGGAGCACGAGACCAGGGCTATTTTGGGGCAAGAACGCACAGGAACGGAGTTCCGGCTGGCTCCCAAGTTGGCCACGCCCAGCAGGAACTCATTAGCATAATAGGCCACACCCAACAGCAGAAACTCATTCGGATTGGCTACAATTAGGGGTGTGTGGCCTAACATGCAAAAAGCCCTGGGTTTTGACAACAAACAAGGTAAAGAGAATAAGAAGCAAAAGGTGGGTGTGGCTGGATGGCCACACTTCTGGTAACATGGGGGTGTGGCCTAATATGCGAATAAGCTGTGCTGTCAGGGGTGTGGCCTAATATGCTAATGAGTTCCTGCTGTTGGGTATGGCCTAATATGCTAATGAGTTCCTGGGCTTTTTCTACAAAAAAAGCCCTGCACGAGACCATCGTCCTGACCCGGATGGCCCAAGCGGGCCTGATGTCGGAAGCAAAAGTACTCGGATCGGAGGGCAGGGCTGCTACGCAGAGGCAGGCGAGGGCAACCCACCTCTGTGCACCTCTTGCCTTAAGCTGGCTGCAACCTGACGGCACGTTCCTTCCCAGAGAGCACCAGCAGAGCCAGCTGAGGGGAGGTGGCAGGCTGGAGAGACAGCCACTGGCGGCTTCAACACACTGGAGTTTGCTTCTCTTTAGGAAAGAAAGCCTGAAGTGCCCAAGTGTTGATGTTGCGAGGAAATGAGAGTGAGGTCAAAAACTTCCAGTTCTGCACAACCCCACCCACAAACCTGGCTTGTGCTCATTGTGAACAGACTCCAGTTTATTGGCGATGTCCGAATAGAGAGTGAAAAAGAGGGGAGAAATCACAAACGATAATGAGTACCACACAAAAGGGAGGGGGGGGGTTTAAAGGCAAATATACTTAACTATGTACAAACCAAATGTTAATATATAGAACATGCAAACAATCCCTATATATAATGCATGATACAGTAAAGTATGACAATTAAGGAATAACGACAGTCTAAAGGTAAAGGTAAAGGTTCCCTTGCTCGAAAGCCAGTCGAATCCGACTCTAGGGTTGCGGAGCTTATCTCCGTTTCAAAGCCGAAGAGCCAGCGCTGTCCGAAGACGTTTCCGTGGTCATGTGGCCGGCATGATTAGACACCAAGGCGCACGGGACGCTGTTACCTTCCCACCGAAGTGGTACCTATTTATCTACTTGCAACTTCTTGCTTTCGAACTGCTAGGTTGGCGGGAGCTGGAACTAGAGATGGGAGCTCACTCCATCATGCGGCACCCGGGTCTCGAACTGCTGAACTACTGACCTTCCACAGCCTGCAGTTCAGCGTCTTAACCACTTGAGCCACCGCAGCTCAAACTAAAGTCTACAAACTAATTAAAACTAATTAAAGCACATGAATACACTGCAGGCTGGGCCAACCTGAAAAATCAGCAGTGGCTGAACATAGCCTAACTCAAACAGGACATGGTATTTTATTCCAAGACAATGAAAGGCTGGACAACACATCCAATTACCAGGGAAGTCAGATTACACAGGGAAGCCATTGAAATTCATAAACATAAACACAATTTCCACAGGAAAGAAGAGAGTTTAAAAATAAATAGGGCATGGTTTCCTGTCATGAAAAACACAAAATGCTCTACATCTTACAATAGCACTATAGATAAGATTAGAATTTCAACAGCCAATTCATATGCAAAAGAACCTCCTCAGGAAAGCTCCTCCATTAGCCTGTCACAGACTAGGGAACCCCTACAAGATAATGACTCAGCCCTACCCTACCTTCCTGAGTAGATATAAATTACCTGCCTACCATTTTTCTTCTCACCTTGACACAGAGAGTACTCCATCTTTCTGCGTTATACCTCTGAGGATGCCAGTCACAACTGCTGGCGAAACATCAGGTCCTACAATGCCAAGACCACGGCCATACAGACCGGAAAATCTACAACAACTAATTAAAACACCATTTTGATATCGTCTTCAAAACTGCTTCCGTTACAGTCGCGTTGGAGAATGGCCTTCTACAGTTGTTGGTGGTGACCTTCACCTCTTTGTTATCAGAGCTGTACGTGAAAGATTATCAGACCTGTGCATGAGAAACTGGATCACAGATATATGACTTAAATGTCCCCCTTTTTCATCTATGATTGGCTAATATAAACAACAGTCTACAATGGGACTGTAACAGAAACAAATCTGAAGAAGCAGAAAAGAGCAGCAGCACCTTAAAGACAGACAGAATTTGTGGCAGGGGAGGAGCTTTTGTGAGTCACGAAATTTTGTTCGTCTTTAAGGTACTACTGGACTCTTGCTCTTTTCCACTGCTACAAACCGACTAACATGGCTACCTATCTTGACCTAATCTTGAAGAAGATGTCAAAATGGTATCTTAATAAGCTGGCAGGCCATTGCTATACCTTAATTGTCATACTTCAATGTTTTGTGCACGGTATATAGGGACTGACTGCACTGTACTGTTTGCACTGTATATATTAACATTTGGTTTGTAGACAGTTAAGAAACATCTGAATAGAGCCTCAAACAACAGGTTTTTCCCCCAGAGATCTGAAAGGAGGCAAGAAAGCCGCTTCTGGTGCCTGCACACTTCCCCTTTTGTTTCTGGGACCCACTGAGGGTTTTTAAAACCACCAATTACCAAACAGGAAACAGGAGTCCCGGTAACTGGGGATTTCACAGGCTGCTCCTGCCTGAATGCCACAGAAGGGACCAGTGTTCCCTCTAAGCTGAGTTAGTGTGAGCTAGCAGTTTTTTAGCCTCTGGCTCACACATTTTTGTCTTCGCTCAGGGAGGATGGCTCCAAAGCAAACTAAATGATGCCGTAGCCAAATCACTCGCTCACAACTTGAATGCCAGTAGCTCACAGAGAAGGATTTTTGCTCACCAGACTCCACAGCTTAGAGGGAGCACTGGAAGGGACCCAGTTACACTGCACAGGCCCTGTTCATCCAGTTCCCCTGCCCCTTTACACGTTCATTACAGCTTCCCCAAGGCAACCCATAATGTGCTAAGGAGCCATTCCATGGTTCAGGTTGTTTGCGCAATGAAGCCAATGGCGCTGCAAGCGTTTGTATCTCGGCAAAAATCTGCTTGAGCAGAGACAGCACCGACATGGAAGAAGCACGCTTGCCTACAGCTGCGACACGGGCATCGCTCGAGCTACAAAACCTCCTTGAAAACGTGCTGGCCTCTAGTCAGAGGCATCCATGAGGGATGAACATGCACAAGGCCTGCAGTTCTGGATTCCAGTCCAGAGTTTGGAACAAGGCAGACTCAGGGCCAAGTGGCACCTGGCACTGGATGTGGTGTTTGGTTCTAAAAAGCGGCCATAGGGAGAGGACATCTGGAGCAGGCCCCTGCAGCTGGGGGAAGGGGGGGGATTTCACCTCTGTGCTGTTTCTACACGTACCCCCAACTCCCAGTCATCGTTCAGTCCCAAGGAGGGGGAAAAGAGCCCAGGGCAGGTTATTTCCCCCTACCAGGGCTTAATGGGGGGGGAGGTGGATTTTCCTTTGGGGAAATGGTTTGGGCATGGGGAAGACTTAACCCCGGCTTACCCAGTGCCACAGCCCTAAGAACATAAGAACAGCCCTGCGGGATCAGACCAGGGGTCCATCTAGTCCAGCATCCTGTCTCACACAGGGGCCAACCAGTTCCTCTGGAGGGTGAGCAACAGGGCACAGAGGCCAAGGCCTTCCCCAGATGTGCCCTTATGGGACTGGGATTCAGAACAGCTCCTCGTCCAGAACAGCTCCCCCAGCTGTTTTTTGGGGGTGTCTAGCCACATCTGGAATTCCAGTCCTGGAACTCTAACATCCAATTCTGTCTGGCCCTCCGAGGAGACAAAAGGGGGCAGAGTGAGGGCTGTCCTTCCTGGGTTGAAGAAAGAAGAGCAAGACTACAGTCGGACAGAAATGGTGCCTTTGGCCCCCCCAAACTCTTTCTCTTAGAACAGGGCTGGTTTAGAGCCGGAGAACACCAGCCCTCAGCCCACCTTTGCTTTTCTAATGCCATGGCTTAGTTTTGAAACCAGTAAAGCAACAAGAGTGCATCTGAGAATGGGCAGCGTACTTTCCCAGCACCCATAAACACATGTGCACAGCCCCTTGCCCAAACCTGGGGACAGATGGAAGGATTCTAGGGTTGGGGGAATATCAAGCTCTGCCTGATCACCCCAGATGTGCTGGGGGCACTGTATTTATTGAGCGGCCTGGGAAAAGCCACATTCTATGTGCTCTTTACTGTTTTGGGCGCTAGCAGAGGATACCAGAATTAAGACAATAAGAGAAGCCATGCTGGATCAGGCCAATGTCCGAAACCCAGGTGCCATCAGGAGGTCCACCAGCAGGGCCAGAACTCCAGAAGCCCTCCCACTGTGCTCCCCCCCCCAGGCACCAAGCATACAGAGCATCACTGCCCCAGAGTTCTGATCTGGCCCCAGTTTTCATAGACAAAAGATAGTCAAGAGTTCACGTCTTTGCCCTAGTTGAATTGTAGGGTCCATATTTATTCAAGGATGCCTATAAATGTCTCAGAAGACCTGTTTCATGCTCCTATTGCCCCAAGCAGGGACAGAAGATGCTCCAGTTGTAGCCAGGCCCACAAATAGGGCCTGCTGTTCTCCGCCGCCCCAACCAGCCCAGAGCTTCGCTCACCTCGTTCCACTGGGGCTCGGTCGTGTCGCGGAACACCCGGGTCTTGGCTTTGCTGACAAAGTACCCAAAGGAGTCCACTTCCAGTGTGCAGTAGAGGTCTGCGGAAAGGGAGAAGGGTGCCGTGAGGAGGGGCCAGGGGCCAGACAGGCTTGGACTGGTCCAAGATCATTCCCACCTCCCAAAATCGTACTTGAAGCCAGCCTGGAGGGCCCAAAAGATCAGGCTGCAAGGGTGTGGGCTGGAGAGTCTAGCGACACGTCACCACCACCCGCAGACCTCCCGAACAGGTAGGGTCACCAGCTCTGAGTTGGGAAATCCCTGGAGACTTGGGGGGGGTGAAGCCTGGGAAGGAAACTCATTAGGGTATAATGCCGTACAGTCCATGTTCCAAGGCAGCCATTTTCTCCAGGGGAACAGGTCTCTGTCGCCTGGAGGTGAGCTGTGATTCCGAGGGATCCCCAGGCTCCAACTGGAGGCTGTGGAAACTCGAGCTGCAGTGTTAGAAGAGTCAAACAACAAATATACATATACTGCAAAAACCTTTTTTATAAGTTAAAGTGTTCTATATGTTCCATCTTATAAAGTGCATTGTGTATTATTCATAATATTCTAAAACAGGTATATATTCATTACATGCAATATCAACAATAATAATCAGTTTGTATAATCTAGTAGCTACCAGTCAATTTACATCCTTTTTACACAATCAACCCCAACAGGAGTTTCTAGAATTGTACACCCACTTCTCCTTGCTTGAAAGTCTTCTAAAGGGGGAAGTTTCCTTTTGTGGTTACATTGAAGTTTAAATTGATGTTTGTTGCTGGTCCTACAAAAGGCCCATTAAGCAGCTGACAATCATAGACAGAGGGCTCCTGTCTTTCTCAAGGCTGCCCAGTATTGACCTTGTTCTCTGGTCATTTAGAAGTCTTTCAAGCAAGAAGAAGCGGGTGTACAATTCTAGAAACTCCCGTTGGGGTTGATTGTGTAAAAAGGATGTAAATTGACTGGTAGCTACTAGATTATACAAACTGATTATTATTGTTGATATTGCATGTAATGAATATATACCTGTTTTAGAATATTATGAATAATACACAATGCACTTTATAAGATGGAACATATAGAACACTTTAACTTATAAATAAGGTTTCTGCAGTGTATATATTTGTTGTCTGACTCACCTGGAGGCTGGCAACCCTACAAACAGGCCTGTAGTAGAAATCAGGAACTGAGGGCTCCTGAATCAAAATTTGGCTCCCAAAGGGTTGCCGGGGGACTGCCATCTAGTTTTCATGTGCAGTTGTGCTGAGCCTTTTCAAGCCCCTCATCTTTTCTGCCGGGGTTCCTGGTCTGTTAGCGTCTTTTATGCAAAAGCAACGTTTTTTAAAAAATGTGTTCATTTTAATGAGGGAGAAACTCGGCACAAGGAAACAGAAAATGGCACAAAAGTAAAGACTCCCCCGGTTCCAATTGACACGAGGGAGAAGTAAAAGAGAAAACGGGGATTTTCAGATCAAATCAGCGGGGATGAGAAATTAAGAGACCGTCCTCAAGCCGCATTGCTTGGTCCCAGTTATCCGACACAAACCAGAGGCTTGCGCTGGTATGGGAACCCGGCAGTCGGCATGAGGAGCAGAGGAGGAGGAGGAACTGGGTCTTTCCACCAGTGTTCCTTCTAGGCTGTGCCTGTGAGCGGCCGCTCATTGACCCAGGAAGCCCCGCTCAGCAGCAGTCTGGAGCCACGCTGGGTCTTGCACTGCCCAGTGCCCATTTTAAGAGTACAGCAGCTACATTCTGCTCAGAATGTGAACTGCTCCGCTAAGTAGGAGGAAAAAACATTGTTTTCCACCCCTTTTTTGCATCAGAGCAATCCTTGGCCCAATCCGGCTGCCAACCAGGTGCTACCTGATCAACCAGGCATGCCAGAAGAGTGGAAGGGGCACAGGCACAGGGTGCATGCAGGGCATTATGGGAGAGGCCAGTCAGGACGAATGCATTTCAAGGGCAGGCAGCAGAGCAAGAGGGGCAGCTTAGCCGGTGACGGAAAGAAAGACACGGCCTGGATTTCTTGGCCTTTCCGGAGCCGAGCCTAGGCTGGCACGAGGCGCACGAGGGGCAACCGTGACGCAGGCTCCCTGGAGGTGGCACTTACTGGCAGATTGTTTGAAGCCCTTGGCAGAGTGGACGATGACGTGCAAGAAGCCGTACATCCCTGGAGGTTCATCGTCTGTAGAGTGGACAAGCCAGAGGGGGTGGGGTTAGAACAGCTTCTGTCAGGAGGGGCT